GCTGGGCCATGGCCAGATATTTGATTAAACATTATTTTGGATGTCTCTGTGAGGAGATTTTTTTTTTTTTTTAAAGATTTTATTTATTTATTTGACAGAGAGAGACACAGCAAGAGAGGGAACACAAGCAGGGAGAGGGGGAGAGGGAGAAGCAGGCTTCCCGCCGAGCAAGGAGCCCGATGTGGGGCTCAATCCCAGGACCCTGGGATCGTGACCTGAGCCGAAGGCAGACGCTTAACGACTGAGCCACCCAGGCGCCCCCGCCTGAGCCACACTTCTATATGTGCCCAAGGATACATATATGTGTGTATGTCCGCATGTCTTATCATGAACATTGAAAACAACACAGCTTAAGTTGCAGAAGCTTTTATGATAGTGATAATAATAAAATTATAATTGCTAACATTCATTGCGAACTGTGTCAACTCCACTCACTCACCCTGTTCTAAGTGCTTTCACAAATATTAACTCATTCAATCCTTATTACAAATTTACAGGCTAGGTGCTGTAATTATCCCATTTTATAATTGAGAACATAGAGGCAAAGAGCTTTCAAATAAACAGTTTGCCTCAGGTCACACAACCTGTTGTATTTGGGACAACCAGGATTTATTTTTCACATGTCACCTTTCATTGCTCTCTACCTTTGTTTTTTATAACAGCTTTACTGAGATAGATTATAACTTATAATCTATATACCACAAAACTCATTCTAAAATTCTCAAATGTACAAATGACTGTTACTCAGAGTTGGGCCACCATCACCACTATCTGATTTTAAAACACTTTTTGCCACCCCAAAAAGAGATTCCTTTGGGGCTGGATTTCTTTTGGACTCCCTTATATTGTCCACCAATAGGGAAATAAGCAAACATATTATATATGCAATTGAATATTACAGAACTGTTACAATGGTTCAACTAGATTCAAGGTGCTTAGTTAAGTTAGTGCACTTCATGCAGTAGGTGAAGAAAAAAAAGCAACACATGCAAACACACACACAGGCAATTTGGCCCTAAATTTGACCTTGTAAAGTACAGTATGATGGGGTGCCTTGGTGGCTCAGTTGGTTAAGCCCCTGCCTTCGGCTCAGGTCATGATCCTGGAGTCCCAGGATCGAGTCCCGCATCAGGCTCCCTGCTCGGCAGAGAGTCTGCTTGTCCCTCTGTCCCTCTGTCCCTCCCCCCACTTGTGCTTTCTCTCTCTCTCTCAAATAAATAAATGAAATCCTAAGAAAAATAAAATAATGAAATAAAATATGGATGGGAATGATATCTGACTTTATTTTTATTTTTTTAAAAGATTATTTATTTATTTGAGAGAGAGAGAATGAGAGAGATAGAGAGCACGAGAGGGCAGAGGATCAGAGGGAGAAGCAGACTCCCCGCCGAGCAGGGAGCCCGACGTGGGACTCGATCCCGGGACTCCAGGATCATGACCTGAGCTGAAGGCAGTCGCTTAACCAACTGAGCCACCCAGGGGCCCTTTCTTTTTCTTTTAAGAGAAGCAATTCTTAAGCAAATACAGCTTAATGTCAACGGTTGTTAAATTTGGGTGTGGAAACATCAGTATTTACATTATTCTTTGTACCTTTTTATATATTTGAAGAATTTCACATTTTTTATTCTTTTCCAAGAAAGCAAGTGTATTAGGGTTGTCTAGAGAAACAGAACCAGTAGGATGTGTATTCAGAGATTTGTTTTGAGGAATTGGCTCACACAGTTATGGGGGCAAGCGAATCTAAAATCTGCAGGATTGAGCACCAACTGGGTGGCTCAGTTGGTTGAGCGTCTGCTTTCAGGGTCCTGGGATCAGGCCCTGTCTTGGGCTCCCTGTTCAGCGGGGAGCCTGCTTCTCCCTCTCTCTCTGCCCCTCCCCCTGCTCGTGCACACACACTCTCTCTCTGTCAAATAAATAAATAAAATCTTTTTTTTTTTTTTAAGACTTATTTTTCAGAGAGAGACAGAGTACAAGCAGGGGGAGTGGCGGGCAGAGGGAGAAGCAGGCTCCCTGCTGAGAAAGGAGCCCAATGCATTCTTTTTTTTTTTTAAGATTTTATTTATTTATTTGAGAGAGAGAGAATGAGAGACAGAAAGCACGAGAGGGAAGAGGGTCAGAGGGAGAAGCAGACTTCCTGTTGAGCAGGGAGCCCGATGCGGGACTCGATCCCGGGACTCCAGGATCATGACCTGAGCCGAAGGCAGTCGCTTAACCAACTGAGCCACCCAGGCGCCCAGTAAATAAAATCTTTTAAAAAAAAGTGCCCAAAGGGAACCTCAATGGAAATTAAATTAGTGGATCTTGGGTAGGCACCATTTAATTTTACTCAATATCACTAAGTAGCTCTTTGGTAACATTTGATAGCTCCTTTTCCTCCACATCCTCACCCATACTTGGTATGAAAGACTAACTTTGCAAATATAACAGTTTGAGATCATAGTTCACTGTTTAATTTGCACTTAACTGTACCTAGTGAAATTTGTGTATCTTTTCCTATGTTTATTGGCCATTTAGGTTCCTTTCCAGTTAACTGCATGTTTAATATTGCATGTTTATATGCTATGTCATGTTTCTATTTTTTAATTAATTTGAGGGCAGCCTAGGGGGCTCCTGGGTGGCTCAGTTGGTTAAGCGACTGCCTTCAGCTCAGGTCATGATCCTGGAGTCCTGGGATTGAGTCCCACATCAGGCTCCCTGCTCAGCGGGGAGTCTGCTTCTCCCTCTGACCCTCCCCCCCATGCTCTCTCTTTCTTCTCATTCTCTCAAATAAATAAAATCTTTAAAAAAAATAATTTGAGGGCAGCCTAGATATAGTCTGGTTATGGAATAAAGTTTGACTCATGTTTTAGGCATGGACAAGTGGGTGGATTTTGTGCTACTTGAATGAAGAGAAGTAGTGGAAAACAAATTTTAGAAGGAATATCATGAGTTTGCTTTCAGAAATTTGAGGTGTTTTGAGTCATCCAAGACAACAAGTCTGTGCTGCAGAGATACATTTGGGAGTTGTCAGCTTATAGAGGGTATGTAAAGTGATAGCAGTGCATGTGGTTATCTCCCAAGAGAATTTGGAGTGACGTGACAAGAGCCCTACAGAATTATGCACTTGGAGAAGGAGAATCCAGAAAGGGATCCTGAGATGGAGGGCCAGTAAAATAGAGAAAAACTAGAATTGTATGATACCATGGAAGCCAAGAGAAGACTGTGCTCTTCCCCTGCCCCCCACCCCCATTTTTTATAATGGCTGCATAAGGTTTCACTGCACGGGTGTACCCCCACTGCTCTTCTATTTGGGAATTTGGATTTATCCCAGTGCTTTTCTATTATAAACTACACTTTGATGAGCACTCTTACAGATTTTTCGTTTTTCACCACTCTGATTATTTCCTTTGTATATACTCCTGTATATAGTTTAAAGAGTATGCCTATTTAAATATTTTCACTATAAGTTGAGTATCGTCTTCTAGAAATGTTGCCTTCATTTATATTCCCACCTGAATGGGTTTGCTGTTTTCTCCATTCTGGTGGTGGTGGAAAGTGGCAAGAACTGGATATTGCATACCAACATTTTTATTGGTTGCGAAGTGTGCCGTTGCATGGATATTTATAATTTACTCAATTATATTGTCTTCTTGTTTTTGGTATTATAACTCGTGTTGCAATTAATAGTTTTAGCTAAATCTTTTTGCTCATTCTTAATCTATTCCTTAGAATAAATTACTGAAAGGGGAATTGATGAGTCAAAAGTATTTACATTTTTTATTTTTAAAAGATTTTATTTATTTATTTGACAGAGAGAGACACAGCGAGGGGGGAACACAAGCAAGGGGAGTGGGAGAGGGAGAAGCAGGCTTCCCGCGGAGCGGGGAGCCCGATGCGGGGCTCGACGCGGGGCTCGACGCGGGGCTCGACGCGGGGCTCGACGCGGGGCTCGACGCGGGGCTCGATCCCAGGACCCTAGGATCATGACCTGCGCCGAAGGCAGACGCTTAACGACTGAGCCATCCAGGCGCCCCGAAAGTATTTACATTTTTAAAGTTGTGGATACATATAGATAAATCACCCTCCATAAGGGCTGCGTTCTTCCCATCAGCAGAGTAGGGAAAGAGGCATCCCTAATCTTTGGATGAACCATGTCCAAAGTGCTTCTATCAGGCTGAAAGCATCCTGTATGATTTTATAAGAAAACTGCTCAAATAAAATTCTTAAGCAATACCGCTTTTACACATCACACTGGGGTTGAGGATCAAAATCTGAAAGGCTTTTTATTCCAGCGGCATTATCTGATCTGGAATCTAAGAATTATTTCCAACAGCATTGTGTTGGCAACCACATCATCAGAGACATTTGGAGAGGGCAGAGGATTTTTGAAGCCTAAGGGCTTCAAATCACAATCGATGCAGTATGGCCATGGGGTCACTTGTAAAAGGTGGTCTCAGGTTTGACATCATTTCGATGGAAAGTTCAGTCTTAAAAGCAGCGTATATTTGTTAGGTTGGATTCACTTTGGAATCGAGTTATTTTACATTTTGTTGTTTTAACGGTTGACCAAAATAGGTTCAGTTGTTGTTGAGATAGGTCTTTTAGATGCTTTTTTTTTCTTTGAAAAACAAATGACAAATAGTCACTGTTTTATCTGCATAAAGTATGTATTTGGATTTAGAAGCTCCGCAGACACGGGATTCTTACATTAGCATCCGAGTCTTGGCGTGAGATGTGAGCGCTGTGACTCGTGCGCGGGTATTAAGGTCTTAGGGGTGGTCGGGAGCGCAGGTTGAGGTCCCCGCGGGCGTGGCGGTCGTCCCGAGCCCACATCCCACCATCGGCCGGCCACCGCCCAAGGAACAGGCCACCACGGCGCCTGCGCAGGAGTGCGCCCGCGCGGCACCGGCCCTGGAGGACGGGAAGGGCGGAGCTTGCGGCAGGGTCCGCCCCCGCCAGCGGCGCGCGTGAGACTGGGGCGCGTCTTCCGCCTCGTGAGAGGCTACTTCCGGATCCGGTGGCAAGTGCCACTGGTCCTGAGTGAGGAGGTGCTGGGTCGGCTGGCGGGCGGGCTGGGCTTCGGCCCGCGCGCGGCGGGCGATGCTGGGAGGCAGCTCCGGGGCCCGGGAGCGCGAGGCGGTGGGCGACGGGGCGGAGGCTGTGACGGCGCCGCCCGCCATCGAGTTCCCGGCCGACGGCTCGGACCCCAAGTATGATGGTGAGGGACTCGGAATGCCGCGGCGGCCCTCCCCTTGCACCGGTGCACCTTCATTCCCGGGTGGGCAGGGCGCAACGAGCATCGCCGCGGCTCCGGGGCGAATTCGGCTGGATCCGGGCTCGAACCGGCGGCCCAGCGGTGCAGTGCGAGGGGCGGCGGGAGGGCGGTCTGGATAAGGTAAACACTTATTGAAACGAGTGCCTGCGACCCGCTCGTTTGTTTACGTTTCTGTTCCCTGGTTTCCTCTTTGCGGATTTTTTTTTTTTAAAGATTTTATTTATTTATTCATGAGAGAGAGAGAGAGAGAGAGAGAGAGAGAGAGGCAGAGGGAGAAGCAGTCTCCCAAGGAGCAGGGAGCCCGATGCGGGACTCGATCCCAGGACCCTGGGATCATGACCTGAGCCGAAGGCAGACGCTTAACCATCTGAGCCACCCAGGCGCCCCTCTTTGCGGGTTTGGCTCCGGACGTGCTAAGATTTCCCTCTTCCCAGCTCCGAACCCTGTGGTTTTGTCAGACGATGAGAATGAGCTTTGTAAACTTCTGGAAGGGGACTTTGCAGACCTTATACGCTTAACAGTTCGGGTTAAGTGTTTGAATTTGTAGCTTCTCTTGTCTTTTGCTTTACTGATAGGGGAGCTAAAGACTTCTCATGGTGGGTCCGTTTAAAGAAAAGAAATGCTCTTTTTTTTTTTTTTGAGGCTTTGGATACTAGGGGATACGGCGTTAAGGCAGGCAAATTATTCTGCATAAAGTGAGGGGTACTTAAAACCTTGACTCCAGCCAGTTCAAAGTATCCAGTATTTTTTTAAAAGATTTTATTTATTTATTTGACAGAGAGAGAGAGAGACAGCGAGAGAGGGAACACAAGCAGGGGGGGTGGGAAAGGGAGAAGCAGGCTTCCCGCGGAGCAGGGAGCCCGATGTGGGGCTCGATGCCAGCACCCTGGGATCCTGACCGGAGCCGAAGGCAGACGCTTAACGACTGAGCCAGCCAGGCGCCCCAGTACCCAGCATTTTATTCAAATTTCATAGGGTCTTTAATTACTACCAGTTGTTTTGGCAGTTTTTAAAGCTAAATTGCGCTACCAAGAATGAATGATACTGATTCAGGGAGGTTTTACTTACGGTGCTTTGAATAGGTTGATTACAAGGAGTACATGTTCAGTTGAAGCATGAAACAAGTATTAACATGCAATGGATTTGAAGTTTCAAGCAGAGTAGAAAATGTTAATTTATTCCTTAAGTCCTTCGATCTTCACCCATAATACCGTCTATAATTCTTGACTTTAAAGGGAGACAAAAACAGGCTGTGGTGGTAATTTAAGTAGGTCATTGACAGAGGACAGTTTTAAGAGAACTGTTTTTTTTAATGAACTGATTTCTTCACATGTAACCCGGTAATATGGCAGCTCAATAATACAGGAAGTTTTATGTCAAAGGAAAAGCCTCAGCTGTAAACACTCAAGTCTGTCTTTGCTGTCCCATTATGATAAGGTTTTCTGAAAAGGAAAGATTATTCTTGAAGGGAGTGCTCTTAGATAAAGTTTGAAAAATTTCCTTCTGCTAGGTTACTAATAATACTGTTGTGTTTACATATTGGCTTTTCTTCCAAAGAGGCCTAGAATATCCAGACATAATTTATCTTTTTATGTGAAAAGTAAGGTCTATGAAAAAATAAAGTTTCACTTTTAGTAGACGTGGAAACAGAGCAGTTACATGATTTCTCGAAGGTCATTGGCATGATGTAAGGAGATCACTCTGCTAGTTTATGGTAGAGTCAGAAAATTCAAAACTTAGATATAACTCTAAAACCTGTGTTCTTCCGTCTGTTATGTAGGGACCAACTTTGATCAAAGTTCCTCTATTTTTCCCCCCCTCCGTGGAATAGCATGCAACAGGAGAGCAACAGTAAGCCCATTTCCAGACTCATTGGTTTTTCTTTCATCTGACAAGTTTTTCAGAATTTTTACCTCAAATTAAACCTCCAAGTTCTCCCTCATTTAATAATGGACCATTTATTCAGATCATACTTTCCTGAGGAGCCTGAAATAGGTGATCCCTTTCTTGTTTGTCTGCTCCCCTCCTAGTTGGCAGAAGTCTCTATTCACCTAGAATATCTCATCTCATTTCTTCTTCTTTTATAACAGGGTCTGACCTTGTCTTTCCTGTTAGCCTCTTTACTCTTCCTCTTCTACTTGATCAGGACCGAACAGGAAGCACTCAGCTTTAGCTTTCATTTCCTTACGGTTTTACACCTTCCTGTGTTTTGAGTATTTGTCCATTGCTCTTTTTTTGTTTTTAAGATTTTATTTATTTATTTGACAGAGAGAGACGCAGCGAGAGAGGGAACACAAGCAGGGGGAGTGCGAGAGGGAGAAGCAGGCTTCCTGCAGAGCAGGGAGCCCGACGCGGGGCTCGATCTCAGGACCCTGGGATCATGACCTGAGCCGAAGGCAGATGCTCAACAACTGAGCCACCCAGGTGCCCCTCCACTGCTCTTTTTTAAAGTTGCCATTTTCTTGGCTTAGTTGGTTCATTTGACTCTGATCATGCTTTTTTTTTTTTTCTTGTTAAAAAGTAGGATTTCCAGGGATGCCTGGGTGGCTCAGTCGTTGAGCATCTGCCTTCGGCTCAGATCATGATCCCAGGGTCCTGGGATCCAGCCCCGCGTTGGGCTCCCTGCTCAGTAGAGAGCCTGCTTCTGCCTCTGCCTGCTGTTCTCCCTGCTTGTGCTCGCTCTCTTGCGCTCTCTCTATGACAAATAAATAAAATCTTAAAAAAAAAAAAAAAGGTAGGATGGGGCGCCTGGGTGGCCTAGTTTTTGGGTGTCTGCCTTCGGCTCAGGTCATGATCCCAGGGTCTTGGGATTGAGCCCTACATCGGGCTCCCTGCTCTGCCAGAGGCCTGCTTCTCCCTCTCCCACTCCCCCTGCTTGTGTTCCCTCTCTTGTTGTCCCTCTCTCTGTCAAATAAATAAATAAAATCTTAAAAAAAAATAGAATTTCCTCATTGTAGAACATAGGCAAATATGAGCATAGAGAAGTAGAAAACCCTCCAAACCCTAATCTCATCACTGTTGACAATTCAGTGTATTAAAAAAATTTTGGGGGCGCCTGGGTGGCTCAGTTGGTTAAGCGACTGCCTTTGGCTCAGGTCATGATCCTGGAGTCCTGGGATCGAGTCCCACATCTGGCTCCCTGCTCAGTGGGGAATCTGCTTCTCCCTCTGACCCTCTGACCCTCTTCCCTCTCGTGCTCTCTATCTCTCATTCTCTCTCTCTCAAATAAATAAATAAAATCTTAAAAAAAAAATTTTTTTTGTTCACATTACAAAGTATGTTGAAATTACAGAAAAGCCTGAAGAAGGAAATTTAAAAATCACAATCTCATCACCCAGAGATTACTGTTTACATTTTGGCATAGCCAGTGAAAATTTATTTGCTGAGTTTTGCATTTAAAACTCTTTGTCAAAGATACCATAAATGGATTCAAGATTTCTGAGTTTGTCCAAATAAGATAAAAATTTAGAGAAATCATTTGGAAAAATTTCAGGAAATAAAGAAAAAAGAAGGGAAAGTCACCTGTACTCATATCCCAGAGAACTCACTGCTAACAATTTGGTGTATTCATTTGCAGATACTAATGAGAGCTGCTGTAAGCCAGGTAGATGCCTAGATATTAAGGATCAAACAGGCAGATTGAAAAACAGCATGTTCACCAGTTTCATTTCTTTTTTTTTTTTTAAAGATTTTATTTATTTGACAGAGAGAGACACAGCGAGAGAGGGAACACAAGCAAGGGGAGTGGGAGAGGGAGAAGCAGGCTTCCCGCCGAGCAGGGAGCCCGATGCGGGGCTCGATCCCAGGACCCTGGGATCATGACCTGAGCCGAAGGCAGACGCTTAACAACTGAGCCACCCAGGCGCCCCAGCAGTTTCATTTCTTTTACAAATTCTTTTGATGTATAATTGGAAACGGGGCAGAGATTTTGTCTGCTTTGTTCTTTGTATTGTCTATACATTTATATAGCTATGAAGTAAATATATTTTATTTATTTATTTAAAAAGATTTTATTTGTTCATTTGAGAGAGAGAGAGAGAGCACATGAGAAGGGGGAGGGTCAGAGGGAGAAGCAGACTGTCCACTGAGCAGGGAGCACGACGCGGGACTCGATCCCAGGACTCCAGGATCATGACCTGAGCCGAAGGCAGTCGCTTATCCAACTGAGCCACCCAGGCACCCTGAAGTAAATATATTTTAAAATTGTGAGCATAGTATGATAATTCTTTTATGTTCTGCTTTTTACATGTGATGCTATATTAGCATTTTCTTGTGATAAATTAGCCTTCAAAAACATTAAGACTATCACATTTTATATTATTTTAGTTTTTGCCCTGTTGGAAAATAAGTTTCTCTTTTATCATTAGAAATAATAATGGGTTTGACACCTGTGTACAAGTCTTTGTTGATATCTGATTATTTCCTCAGACTGCATCTACAGAAGTAGGATTTGTTGGGTTAAAGAAATAGATTAAAAAAAAGGTGTTTTTTTTTTTTAAGATTTTATTTGTCAGAGAGAGTGCGAGCACAAGCAGCGGGGAGTGGCAGGCAGAGGGAGAAGCAGGCTTTCCTGTTGAGCAAGAAACCCCATGGGGGACTGTCCCAGGGTCCTGCGATCATGACCTGAGCAGAAGGCAGACGCTTAGCCAAATGAACCACCCAGGTGTCTCCCCCCTCCCCCCCAAAAAACGTTTTGATACATTTTGGTAAAATGATGACTTAGAGAGGTGGTGATGGTTTGTATGAAACTAGCCTCACCTTCATGTGTATTACTGTTTTTTAAATTTTTAATTTATTTTTTTTATTCATTTGACAGAGAGAGAGGCAGAGAGAGAGGGAACACAAGCAGGGGGAGTGGGAGAGGGAGAAGCAGGCTTCCTGTTGAGCAGGGAGCCCGATGCGGGGCTCGATCCCAGGACCTTGGAATCATGACCTGAGCTTCAGCTCAGCACTTAACTGACTGAGCCACCCAGGCGCCCCAGTATTACTTGCTTGCTTCTTTGACTTGATAATGGACTATTCATAATTATCTTTTTAATTAATTAATTTAAAAAGATTTTATTGATTTGCCAGAGAGAGAGAGTGCGCACAAGTAGGGGGTGTGCCAGGCAGAGGGAGAGGGAGAAGCAGGCTCCCCGCTGAGCAGGGAGCCAGACATGGGGCTCAGTCCCAGGACCCCGAGATCATGACCTGAGCCAAAGGCAGACGCCTAACTGACTGAGCCACCCAGGCGCCCCCATGATTACCCTTTTTTTTTTTTTTTAACATTTTATTTATTTGACAGAGACACAGCAAGAGAGGGAACACAAGCAGGGGGAGTGGGAGAGGGAAAAGCAGGCTTCCCGCCCAGCAGGGAGCCCAATGCGGGGCTCCGACCATGACCCGAGCAAGGCAGGCACCCAACGACTGAGCCACCCAGGCGCCCCCCACAGTTATCTTTTTATACACCATCATTTCCAATAGCTGCAGAATCTCTTATATGTATATAATTTAGCAACTTTTCAGTAGTCTAAACAGTGTTATGCTGAACATCTTAGAGACATGTATTTGTTGTGCTTTGTAAATATTTTCAAAAACTAGAAGTGCTGAGTCAAAGGTTTGCACATTTTGAATTCTATGATATATTCATCGATGAAGGTTGCAACACTTTTACCCCCCTGTGATTTATTTATTTATTTATTTATTTATTTTTTAAAAGATTTTATTTATTTATTTGAGAGAGAGAGAGAGAATGAGAGAGAGAGCACGAGAGGGAAGAGGGTCAGAGGGAGAAGCAGACTCCCCGCCGAGCAGGGAGCCTGACGTGGGACTCGATCCCGGGACTCCAGGATCATGACCTGAGCCGAAGGCAGTCGCTTAACCAACTGAGCCACCCAGGCGCCCACCCCCCTGTGATTTAAAATGTCTCCTTTATGTGCCCATAATAATACCATGTATTCCAGGCTTGAAGTGGTTACCAATCTGATGGCAAATTTTGGTATCATAGTTATTTTAATACGTATGTCATTAGTTACTAGTTATGTTAAACCTATTTGAGTTTTAATTGTGCTTCATTTTATTGTAAGGGCTCTATATAAATTTTACTGCTGTTTCTTTTTCTTGTCATGTGTAGTGCAAGTCTGTGTACTATATATGAATTTGTGATTCATGTGTTAACTTTAAGATGTCTTTACATATAGAAGTTATTACATGGGCACATTTTTCATTCTTTCCCTGCCCCCATACTCAGTAAGTTTTCATGTAAAATGAATAGCACATCTGCATACGTGCAGGTGTTTTTTGGTCACCTTATAAATCAGAGAGGAAATTGGTGATGAGGTCTGAACTTGGAAACTGACTTTTCCGGGTCCTCTATAGATTATAGAGGAGGGTGGGATAGAATATTTGAAATGGGAAGGAGTTTTGGCAAGTGGGGGATGTATAGTCCTTGTTTCTGCAGGGCATTTCCAGTGCAACGGGCGCACAGCTCTTGAGAGCTTGCAGTGTCTCATCTCTTCCTTAACAGCCCTCTTAGAGGTTCACCCTCACACCTCCATCCTCCCACTCCTGGTGTTGTATAATTGGCCAGTCCGTTTCTTTCTCCATATCTCTGGGACCTGTTCTTTCCTCCATGTTTCTGTCCTTTATTTCCTTTACAAGGCTCTTGTTGGCATGTCGCCTGCCTCTTCCTGTCTACCTGTTAGATGTTTCCAGCACAGTTTCCTCACACAGTTTTCCTTCTTACTGTTTGTGGTCGACTCAGTAACACATGAAATAAACAGTAAGCGAGAACTTAACAGCCTTCAGCTGGAAGTGCCAACTCATCCATCTGCTTGGTCTTGGGTGGTGGAAGGAGGATGGGCTTGGGCATCGTGCCGACCTGTCTGCTTACAAGTTCCCAAACCGCTGTGTGAGGTCAGTGTCCTCATCTGTAAAGCCAGAGCGGTGGCACTTCCTTCCACTGTTTTGTGAGGACTGGAGGCTCTGCACATGGAACAGTTGGCAACTCACGTGGCCTGTGCCCCAGGTGGTTCCCATGCTTCCTCCCTCGCCCTCTTCCCGCCGCCAGACTTCCTTCCTTATGCCAGCGCCTGGGCTGTCCTCGCGAAGGAAGCCATCCTGTGCCCTCTTGTTCTCTTGGATGTTTATTTACTCATTTATTTCTACCTTTGCACACACCATTACTTCCACAGCCCACCCCCTCCCCCCCGATGGCGTTCTTCCGCTAGTCTTGCAGCTTCCAGAATTCAACACAACACTGAATTCTGGAAAGTCTGTCTAGATTAACCCTGCTCGGCTTAACTACTGTTTTGTGTTTTATTTCCTTAAATGTCAGTAGTTTGTGTTTCATTAATTAGAAGATGCTGTTTTGTCATTATGAGACGTGTTTCCCATTTATTCACATTGTTTCCTCTTTTAATTTTTAGAATCCGATGTCCCAGCTGAACTCCAGGTATTAAAAGGACCCCTGCAGCAGCTGACCTTCCCTTTCGCAGTTGCAAACCAACTCTTGCTTGTCTCTTTGCTGGAGCACTTGAGTCATGTGCACGAACCAAACCCGCTCCGTTCAAGACAGGTGTTTAAATGTTAGTAAGAATAAATCTTGCTAAGTAAACCTTGTAAAAATACTATGTTGTTTGATGTTGTGGGTATGAGAAGCAGCTGGTATATAAACATTTGAAATAAGTATTAATAGTTTGTATTTCTTGAATGCATTTTATATTTTCCTTTGGGTAATTCCTTATGACTATAATCACCAGAGACCCCAAAAGATTAATGACCATAAAATTGGGTGTATTTAAATAAGTAAAAGATAGTTCTTTTGTCTCTATAACATGATCATTCATATAATTTATTTATTTGACAGAGAGAGACACAGTGAGAGAGGGAACACGAGCAGGGGGAGTGGGAGAGGGAGAAGCAAGCTTCCTGCAGAACAGGGAGCCTGATGTGGGGCTCGATCCCAGGACCCTGGGATCATGACCTGAGCCGAAGGCAGACGCTTCACGACTGAGCCACCCAGGCATCCCTCTGAGATAGTTCTTGACCAAAGCCCCGGACTAGCCGTGTTCTTTGTTGAATAGGAAACTTTTCCTCTACACACTGAATACTAATGACACCAAATGTGTGCTTTCCCCCGCTGTACTGACCAGTTCTCGGACACCAGCTGGTTGTCTTACAATTCAGTTCAATCCTGACACCGTCTACTTGGAGTTAATGTCAGATCCCACACGTTGAGGGCTCAGTCCCACAGACTGCCTTCATTTCGGATGCCAGTTGCAAGTGTGGGTCCCTGGTGTCCTCAGGTTACCCATACTTGTGTCTGACCTGGCTGTAAATTGTTCACTGTCGAGTGTCCACCCTTGCCACTCAGGTTTAATAATTTGCTATAATGGCTAACAGTACTCAGACATTTATGGTTCCTGGTTTATTATATAAGAGAGGATATGATCACTGAAACAGGTGAACAGCCAGATGGAGAGGCACATAGGGTGAGGACCAGAGTACAAGAGCTTCTGTTCCCATGGAGTTGGGATGCCCCACTCTCCTGGTGTGTGGATATGCTCACCCAGAAGCTCTCTGAATCTTGTAATGGATGTTTATGGAGGCTTCATCATGGTGGCGTGATCAGTGATTAACTCCATCTCCAGCTCTTCTCTCCCTGGAGAAATGGAGAGAGGAGGTGGAGCTGAAAGTTCCAAACTTTTAGTCATGGCTTGGTCTTTCTGGTGATCAGCCCCCATTTGAAATCACCTAGGGGACCCCCAGTCATCTCATTAGCATACACAAGACTCTTATCACTGGAGATTCCAAGGGTCTTAGAAGCTTTTGTGTCAGGAACTGAGGTCAAAGACCAAATATTAGAACAAAAGATGCTCCTAGCCCCCCCAGCCCTTGGGAAATCACAAGAATTTTAGGAGCTATGTGAGTTTTAGGAAACAAGACCAAATACATTTCTTATTATACCACAGTGGTTGAAATGTTTATTTTTATTTCTGCCATAGTTTACGTGTATGAGAAACCTGAGCATAGATGTGAGCAGGATTACAGATGGTAATGTTTGTGGTCCAGCTCCTTGAGAGCACTGTGGCTTCTTTAATAGCTCCAACCACAGATTCTAAGGATCTTTTCTACCAAAGAAGTCTTCCCAAGTCTTGTTTAGTGTTAGGAATCCTCAAACTTAGAGATACCTACATGTGAACTTAAAAGGTAATATTTTTAGTTAAAGGTAGATTGTCATCTTGATGAACTTGATGGGACATGGAAATATACAAGTATATATTTATTTTTCTGAATAAGTGGTGGGGAGGTGGTTGTACAGAAGTGGGTGTTCTGTGGGTTCCAGAGCATTGGTAGCTGGGCATTATTGTCTTCAGCTCATTGTATAGATAAGCTGATTATAATGATTTTTATGTAGTCGTCTTGCTTCTTTTTTTTTTTTTTTTTTAAAAGGTTTTATGCAACTAATTTTTTTTTAAAGATTTTATTTATTTATTCATGAGAGACACAGAGAGAGAGAGAGCGAGAGAGAGGCAGAGGGAGAAGCAGGCTCCCAAGGAGCAGGGAGCCCGATGCGGGACTCGATCCCAGGACTCTGGGATCATGACCTGAGCCGAAGGCAGACGCTTAACCATCTGAGCCACCCAGGCGCCCAGTCGTCTTGCTTCTAATTAAAGCAGATCTGAATCTTGTTGATTTTAAAGTATTTTTGAATTCCTTTTTAGGTGACTAAACTTTTAAAGTATATTTAAAATAATTTTGATGTTATTCAATTAGTTGATAATCTAATGAAGTTACCCATATACAAAGAATATTCTCGGATTCCCTCTGGCTCTTGTGCACGGCCTGAGCTTACTCCACTGTAAGGCTACCAAGACCTTGTGCGTTTATGATGGATCATTGTAGTATCAGGTGCGACGTCATGTCTCTACTCCTCCTCAGGAGCCCACAGAGCTCTCTGGAGGGGGAGGGTCAAGATGCTAAACCCACGAGGATGTAATTGTGTGGTGCTAACAAGTCAGCTGACCAGCTACTGCAGTCCCCTACACAACTTGGCTGACGAGACTGGAATGCACCAGGCTTTGAATGGCAGGTCACCTAAGACCTCTGGCCTAGGGCTTTAAGATTTTTTTTTAAGATTTTATTTATTTATCTGAGAGAGAGAGAAGGAGAGATAGAGAGCACGAGAGGGAAGAGGATCAGAGGGAGAAGCAGACTCCCTGCCCAGCAGGATCATGACCCGAGCCGAAGGCAGTCGCTTAACCAACTGAGCCACTCAGGCGCCCTGGC